GTGCGTTTGTTTGTTTGTTTGTTTGTCTGTCTGTGTGTGTAGCTGTGTACATGCATGTATGTATGTGTGTAATGCATGTAGGAAATGTTGTAGTTTATGCAATGTGCGTGAGTAAGTACATAGGTAGGTAAGTAAGTAAATGAGGCAGTAGGTACGTAAGCAAGCAAGGCAACGAGTGAGTGAGTGAGTGAGTGAGTGAGTGAGTGAGTGAGTATGCATGCATGCATGCATGCATGCATGCATGCATGCATGCATGCATGCATGTGTCCTACGTACGCATGTATGTATACATTGAGTAATTATGCAACTGTAAGCATGTGTAGGCATCTCGTTGCACTGTAAGCCCTGTTTGCACGCACGGGCATCCGCACATGCCTGTGCAGGTGCACAAATTCATGCATGCGCTCATGCGAGTAATCAGGCTGGTATGCGCCGAACTGCCTGCAAAGGCTGCAGCACGCCTACATGCCCACACACACGTGCTCGTATTGCTGCATACATGCATCCTACATGCATATGTACATATACATTCATGGGCGGACATACGTACGGCGTACTCAAGGCCAAACAAGCAAGCCAGCAAGCATACATACATAAAAGCAAAAACAGATGCATACATGCATGCTTCATGCGTACACGGAGGCGTGCGCGAACAAATGCGTCCCTAGGTAACAAGTTGCATGCATGTGCAAGATCTACTGTAGCTATAGTAGTTTTGTGAACAAATGTGCGTGTCTGTGCATAACTAGGTCCTTAGGTGCTTCCCTACATGAGATGTACACACGCGTACGGCGACAGAGAGAAAGAAGTGCACGCCAAAGAGTTCTCTGCATTATTTGCTGCTCTGCTATGGGCGGGCCCCCTTCTTAGCATGACGTGCTCCGAATCGGCACCTCCAGTCCCTCCACTCCAAAAGGGGTTGCGCTCTGAGCGCAAGCGGGGGTGACCCTCCCTCAGGATATCCTCACGCCCGCAGACAGAAAGAAAGAGGTGTTACCTTCATCTTTGGGAACGCGGAAGGGCGCTAAGTCGGTGATACCTCGCTGAAGCAATCCACCCGTCACAGAGGCTTGGCATCGAGACTTGGCCTCTCTGACGGCCTTCAACTTCGCCTCAGCCCTCAGAGTCTCTGGCTAGGTGCAGTTTCCTAGGGGTTCTCGACTTGTTGTTCACTTTCTGGGGCTCAATGGTGGTTTTTCGAGGCGAAGGTGACCGCAAGTTGCAAAACCAAGGTTGGAAATACATTGGCCTGATCCTCAGATTGCCCAGCTTTGTTCGCTGATCCTCTTTAAATTTGGGATAGAAGGGATCATCCGTGTGTCGATCTCCGCCCTGCTGCGAAGATGTTCAAGACAGCCTGGCAGGTGCTGAGCACCACCATCTTCCTTGCAGTCTCAGCAGCTGGTGGCCTGGTCAGCTCTGGTGTTGCAGAGGTCTGCGAGCGAGCCCGATGAAAGCCGGAGGGGCTGTTTGGGCGTGTTTCTGGCAGGGTCATACCGCGACTGCGATGCCGTTTCGGCTGTGCTTGTTAAAGCCTTCCTACTCGTACATTGGCCTTCATACTGAGCCCGCAGTGTCATCTACGACAACAGCCACCTCAGCTTTTGTGCCCTCAGCCCGAGGCCCTTTGAAGCTACCCTTGCGTACAGGATCTGCCGTTCTTATGCCCCGTGCCGCGTGGCCTGGTTTTCCTGGGCTTCTCGGTGTTCACATTTGAGGCCTGCTTGGTGTGTGTGTGTGTGTGTCTCCTTCTGCTGGGATTCTCGGTTTCTGCTGAAAATAAAGCGACAAGCAGTTCGAAAGCCTACAATGTCTCAACTTGGGCCCTGCCACCACATGTTGAGACTGGTTTGAGACGAATAGAATTCCGAACTGCCGCACTTCCAGTTCTAATATTCTAAGTATTCCACAATAACGTGCAGACTGGCTGTAGAGGCGTTGCAAGCGAACTTGAGCGCTTGTGATGCCTTATTTGCTGATTCGATCAGGATCCAGCCGTCCCAGAGAAGTTGTTTCACTCCAAACTTCCACAAGTCGTGAAGCCGTAGCCATGGCAGCCTCGCTACCTTTTTCCCGCTACTGTTCCTGCAGCCCTATAGAAACCTTGTCCCAGAACCCAACAACATCCAGTAACGTACTATGTAGGTTTCTGGGCTTCCGGAAAAGCACCTGGCTGCCACAGCCTTTTTGCTTGTAAGGGAAGGCCAGCTTTGAGTAATGATGGACCCGAACTGCACATGGTCACTTTCGCGAAACCTGCAGTTGCTGTATGCCAGCACCCGCAGAAGCTGTGACTGGTCGGAATATTCGGGCAGTAAGAGACTGACACGCGAGGGAACTGAAGTCAGTATGAGTGAGTTCAGCCACGAAAAGTGTATACCTCCCATTACCTTCCTATATCACCGGATTCACATCAACGAAAAAGCAGTATCTGGCATAATTAACATGTTTTGGCTGGCAGTGTACCGCGACCAGGGCATCAACATGGTCATTCCAATGTATGAGTCGCACCGGGACAAGGCTCTCGTGAGCAGCACACCACCGTGTTTCAAAGCATCGGTTTAGTGTAGCACAGGCGAGCTTCGATCGTATTCTCTCAAGGACACTCGTTGCTGCAGGAAGCTCAGAGAACTCGTACATTTTGTCCAGGGCACATGTGCCAGCTTGCTTCTCTGCGCTCGTCAGGTTATTGCTATCTTCGCCACATTTTCCACCGGGACTGCGAATTTCTGCAGTTGAGGGAAACTCACGGTGTTCCTCATGTGGTATCGCATGGCATCTGCTTTGAACCATGCTTTCAAGCTGTCGGCACTTTGCATGGCAGGAATGTGCTCCTCTACGGGGATGGCCTGCGGCCAATTTTAACGTTGAATTTGGCGCAGGACTGCACACACATCCATACACAACATCCTTTTGCCCACAGATGCCCACGGCAAAACTTGATGCATAAGTTTGAAAACAACAGGCTGGAGACCTATCCTAAATTCTGGATTGCGTTTGGGGTTCCAAGTTTTGGGAGCGGTTGGACTGTAGTTATACTATAGACAGATGACACCCGAGCAGACTTTGTAGCCGCCGGCAGCTTCATTTGACTGCAGGCGATGCTGTCATTACACCCTCATTCGTTAAGCCTGCGCATATACCCACACCGCTCAACCCCAACAATTGGTTAAGCTCAGAGTCAGAGCATGCAGACAAGGGGGTTACCGACCAGAGTCAGGAGTATTGTGCTGCAAGAATCGCCATCCTCGCATCGTGACTACATGCCAAAATTCCCACGGCAATGACATACTAAGGAACTATATAGGGTACTAGAGCCCCTAAAGCCCTAAAAAGTAGGTACCTGGAGGGTTAGGGGATGGAAAACCTCCGCTACTTCCAGGACTCACTGGCTTCCACTTGGGCTGCGGCCCAAGACTTCCGGCGTGCAACGTTCACAACCCTCCGGCATCCCCAAAGCCTCTGTGAGGGTTTAGGGTTTAGGGGGTACCTTATTTTGGGGTCCTTATGATAAGGATCCTACTATTGATGGTGCTATATTAGGGTCCCCTAAAATCGGAAACCTCCCTGTTGACCTACTAGGAGTATGGTTGTTGTCGTTGGTGTGGCTGGCAGGGGCGCAGGCGGTATCGGTGCTGAGGCTGGTGATTCCCTGGAGTGCACAACCCCAGAGACTACCGTGCGACTCCCTGGAGTGTCCAACCCCAGAGACTACCGAGACTTTCTGGAGTGCCCAACCCCCAAGGCTACCGTGAGACTCTCTGGAGTGAACCCGTAGACCCCAGGACCTTACCAGCGGTGTGCGCCCATGGATCGTCGACTGACCTGAATCGAACACTCGTGTGTGTTACCTGAGTGGGGACCCCACGACCGTAACGCCAGTGAGTGATGTTGTCTGTAAACTGATTAACAAAGTGTTTTGTGCGTGCGTTTACTGTGATTGTTCATTGCGCGCTTTTGCGTTGTTTGATGTGTGTTTGTGGTCTTTGTTGTATGGTGTTGTTGTTCTTAGTTTTTGGGCGTGGTTGTTATTAATCGTTTTTGTCTTCTCGATGTTGTTGTGTTTGCGGTAGGTGTTGCCGCATGAGACATATTAGATTGTCTCCACATATTTTTATTACGTTATATCACCATTGCCATGGCTGTTGTCAGGCCAAATGTCAGAAGGAAGTGTGGTGTTAGCCGACTACTTGCCATTGCCATTACCAGTGAGGAAGCAAAGCCAGCTTAGCCCAAGTAGAGCTGTCCTCAAAGGCACCCTAAACCGTAAAATCCCCTGCAGCCCAACCTGGAGCTGGAGGTTCCAGTAGCCTTTGCCATTGCCTCGCTTGCTCTCGTGCCACTGTCCGCTGCCCAGCTGCCCGGAAGACCATACAATACAACGCTGCTGCAATGGCCCAGAAGGCTCCAAAGGCGGGATGAACATAAGCGAAGGAATCCCAAACAAGTGCCCTTCTATGGAGGATCCTTAATTCTGCCTACCGTTGTCCCATCTGCTGAGGCCCCACGTTGCAGATCACCACATATGTATGTGTTAACACATATCCGGGGCTATGAAGCATATATTCCTTTCCGGGACTTGAGAATTCTCACCTGATTCAGCCTGTGCCAATTACATATTTGCAAGCGTAAGCATGCTTCTTTCGTCAATAGTTAACACGTAGCTTATGCACCTTTGTAATTTTCCATTCCTAGGTTCTACTCTTCCCAATTATAAAAGCTAGTGTTTCTCGAGGTGTTAGAGCCAGCTTGGCATTTGTCAGGCCATTGAGAGTCCTAGCTAACCCGGGCCTGGCCCGTAAGTCATACAGAGGTTGTTAAGTTACGGGCACTGTTTTTGAGGAGAGAACAGTCGAGGCTGGAATTGGATGTGCGCGGTGCCAGCAGGTACGTAAGCTGGAGATCACAACATGGAAAGGCAGTTCAGAACAAGCAATACTCACTTAGGCTTGTGCCTCCGGAATTTTTTGTCTGACTCCGACAAGCCTTGAGTACACATGCCCTGTTCGGGCTTTACAAACCTTACCGGAATCGCTGACTTCCAGTCACAACCTTATAGTGCAACAAGAAAGCTCAACAACGAAGCATAACCGGCCCGGATGTCTGTTCCATTTGTACTCTGATCAATTCTGATCCAGCTACCTACATCGCGCTTTCCGTGGCTCCTGCAGCTCGCAAAGCACATTACACACTCAAGGCAATCAGGACCCTATCATCCCTGCTATATTCCTGAGTAGAAGGTTTCTCATAGACCTGCGTGATCGCCACTTGTCGGATGCATGCCTGTATTGACTTGAGACGGATGTTTGTACACGCAAGCAACCCCCGCCCCCACCTGCAGACACATTGGCACACTGTACACAGAATCTCCGAAGATACAAAATACACCATAATACACCCAAAAAGGCCCGCCCACCAACAAACACGCGGGTCTTGGTGCAGAAACGGTCTTCAAGCACGGACCCCAACATGGCCTCCTGGTTTCTATTTTCCGGCTTCAGGTTGGCACTGCCGACGTTCGACCTTCTGGAGAGTGGTTTGGCGAGGCTGTCTTCACGGTGCATGAACAAGTTTCGATAATGAATGAATGGAATGGAATGAAGCGAATCGAATGAATGAATAAATTTATGAATAGATTTATGAATGTATGGTTGAATGGTTGATTGATTGATTGTAGCAAGTGTTGCAAACATACGAAGAGAAGATTGTGACCATGCGAGCGTTGTGGACATGTGCATGTTAAATTCGCACGTGTATATACTAATACGTACTTAGGTACATACGAACGCAGTCCTCTGGCGGTGAATCGAGCGAAGGGGTTCTGCGCTACCTTGCTCTGCATGTGCAGAATCCTGCCAGCAGGCCCAGCTGCACTGCCAGCCTTGTCTCGAGCCACCTGCGTCGGCGCACTCAGTCTGCCTGGTGTCACTGCAAGTTCCGATTCAAAAAGGCTCCATGTGTACAAGACGTGCCCACTCCGACGTGTTGGGTTTGGGCTCCGAAAGCCACAGCGAGGTCTTGGATTTCAGACAAATGTATGCCTGTTGACCGCTACCGGCTGCTGTTTTCAGGTCTGGGCATGTGATGCTGATGCTCGCCCTGCGGCGGTACCCACTAGGCATTTGAAGCCTGTGCAGCTGATGTCCACGATGCTCGCCAGCCAACAGAGGTGTTTGTTGACATGGTGTTGCCGCATGCTATGTAACTGATGCTTTAAAGCCACGTTTTGGATTCCGGCCGGGCGGATGCCAATCATGCTCGCTCCACGAGAGCTGATGGTGGTGATGCATTCGACTCAAACTGGAGTCATAGCTGCCACCCATGGGTGTCGGTGCTGCCCTCATTCAAGGGCTGGGCAGGGGAAGGCGATGATGCTCGCCATACTGGTGGTGCTGCTTCAATCTGCGCAGTCCGTTCTCACGATGACTTCTGTTTGTTGACAATACATAACCCAATATATAGGCTCCCATTTCCCAGAAAGACCCAGATGGTGTCTTTTGCTAACTCCCCCAACTCGTGACTCTCGGGGGGGCCTCGGCTCCCATGTTCTGGCTGGCATGCCGGTTCCTAGCAGATTCTCGTCTGCGAAGCTTGCTCATTCTGAGGCGTGAACATCTTCCGAGCCATGCTGCTGGCTGTTTGCGCAGCATTGGCTCGTTATGGCCCCTTTGACATGCAAGTGACTGTCTGCGGAGACTGCGGCAGGAGATAGGAGACTGCAGAGCGGAGATGCAATCTTCAAACGTCGCCGTCACTACCATTCGATTGCCGAGCCTCTGTTGATCCTTACGTTCCAAGACTGCTGAGCTAGTTAGGTGGACAACACTTGGACGATTTTCTTTCGTTGGTCGGAGCTGTCAGACTCTTAGTACAATCTGTGCTTGCTTGGTGGGCTCAGAAACACATGCGGAAGGTCATGAGTAGTGAAGCAGTCTCCACTGAGTATCGTGCCATTATTGTGGTAGGGTCTCGTGCAGAGATGGTTGGCAGCAAGGTGGCTTGTGTGCCGCTGGCGCTGATCTATCCGGCTGCCATACACCTTCGCCTTGTTGCTGCCTGCCTTGACAAGCTTCTCACGTTTTCCCGCAGAATGATGTGGCAGTAGTCTGTGTCTTCGTACCTCTGAATGGGTTTGTGTCAAGTGTATGGATCTCCTTCCCGACACCCAGGCCAGCAATGAAGGTAACCGTCTCGAGGACGGGGAGCCAACTTCCGACCACGCGTGCATGCCTGCATTAAGAATCCCAACATCTGGCTGCGCACATCGTTCCGAAATATCCACCGGAATTCCTGCGCGGTGCGTCTGAGTTGGGCCTCGATCCACCAGGCCTTGGGCGACTATTTCTGCATAGTCTTTGGCATCGCTGTCACGGTACTTTGCACAGCCACTTGGCAAAGCTTGCGTCTGTCAGCATCTGGGATTGCCTTTGTAGTTGTTCCTTCTCTGCGACTTTTCTGGAACTTGAGCAGGACCACGTCATAGGTAACGAGCCTGCACTGTTGTTGTTCATGCTGCGCTGTTGTCGTTGGTTCTGCGTGCCTGCAGGTAGAGGTGTTTCACCCGCTGTCCTGATGTCTGCCGGCTGCAGGGTGATCTCTCCTCACCTGGCGTAGCTAAACCTTCAAGCCAAAGAAGCTTGTTGAAGAATGCGATGCGGCAAAGCGACTCGATCATCCGAAAGTCTGGCCTGCTAGCTCTGAAACTCCCGCAGCTTGTTGCTGATCATCCCGATGTTCTCGCATTGTGGGCCCGACATGAAAGATCGTCGGTTCGTTCAACACCGCGGGCGTTATGCTTCAAGGCATCCTATCTGGTATGAGCATGTGCTGTCAGCAGGTACATGGACTGAGCTGTTTTGGCAGACATCCAGCATGAAATCATCCAGTCCTTTGCTGACCACCCGAAGAGCCCCTCAAGACTATGTACGCAGGCGGTGTGGACATGTACAATATGGACTTCTCCGTGGCTAATGTGCCCAGTGCACCATGAGGATATTGCAGCTATGAGTACGCTGCAGGCCGCACCTGAACCCCGCAGTGACCCGATTTCGTTCAGCCCCGATGAAGTATAGATCAGTAAAACTGAAAGCCGGCCGCAATGCCGCAGCCACGCATCCTGCATCCGTTGCCGGCTTTAGCAGCTCGAGGGCAGAATTTCCAGTGGTTGGTTGGATAAAGCCTTGAAAGGTATTCATTGCCTGAGTCTGAGTGAGTGGCGGCCAGCATCATCCCGGTCCTCAGCAGTGTTGTCAGGGTGAACCTTTGGGTCAAGTACTTCCGTTCGTCTTGTTCGTTTTCCAATCGCTTGTGAGACAGCTGCTGCCTCATTCCCTTTCAAGCCCTAAACCCTAAACCCTAATCCGAAACCTAAACCCTAAACCTTCAAGGACCTGTGGTCGCTACAAAGCGCTTTTCGGGAGCATGGTGCCCGGCCCTCGGGCAGTCAAAGCAGCCCTGTCAAGGAGCCGTGGGGTCTTCGACTCGATCAGCCTGCATCGGCCTTTGAACCAAAAGGTAATCAGTTATCAATTCATTCAGTTCTGTATATATTATACTATAGTACATTAGTCATTTTTTTATTATTGACCAGCCAAGGGGTCAAAGTAGATTGAACTTATGATGAGCCGCAAAGCGAAGCTAAGCGAGTAAGTCCAGATGCTGGAGGGGGACATGTCCAAGCACAGACCAAAGAGAGTGGGTTGCGGCCCAGGGAGTTCGCTCTTTGACCCGTCAAAAGCAAGAGAGCGAACAAAATCAGATAGTTGGATAGACAAGTAGACTCCTTCTTATCAGAAGCATACCACAACCTAACAACTGTCCGGAGAAAGTGCCGTCAAGTTGCCGAGTAAACCTTGGATATAGCCGCTTTTACAGCTTTTCAGACCTCAAGCGGTAGACTTGGACCAGAAAGGCTCTTTCCTGCGTCGTGATCATGCTTATGCGTTGTCAAAAGTTGGAACTGGAGGGGGTGGTGGGTTCGTTGCTGAACGGAATAGGACTGCATAGCAGCATCGACTGACTGAGTATGACATCCACAGTGCACAGCTATATCGCCCAGGTGAAAGATCTTCATCTTGGTTCTGTTGCTCGGCAAAAGCAAGTGAAGCTTCGCATAGAGCCCGGGCTGCACCTTTTTTGAGGAGTTCGGTGAGCAGCAAACGGTTAGGAGATCGTCTTTCTGAGTTTGCATTTGTCAGCATCTGTGGATGCACCACCAACAAGTTCGGGGTGATATGGAAGGATTCAAGGCTTCGCCAGGTTCAGAGTGGGATCTGTGTGCGCGGGCGGGCCAGGGGGGCCCAGGAATGCTTGCCATGCTTTCCTTGTACAGGCTCAACTTGTATCAACTGCAGCTTTGCATATCAAGGCAGCCATGCGTCGATTGTAGGCTCTGACAGCGCTTGCCCATGGCAGCGCTGCCGGACGAGTTTGCCGAACTGATCGATTCCTCGTGGATCACCTTTCGACAACAGCTGTTGGCAGCACACCAGGGGAGAGAAGCAGTGTCGCTTGGAAGCAGCGGCCACCAGGGCGCCAAGTCTATTGCCCTTGTGATGCCTCTCACAAGACCTGCCCGTCGCAGAACCCTTAAGTTCATCCTTGCTTCGTGCATGAGGCCGGCGCGCAGCTTGCTTCTCGCGTCGGATGCTTCCCCAGCGCTTTCGCCGAAGGCGCTTGAGGATTGGGTGTTGCGGGAAGTTTGCGAAGTTGCCGTCCGAGTTCCCGAGGTCTTACTGTACGGTTTCGGTTGACTTTGAGAGCCAAGTAGGATTATTGATGTATAGGATTGAGGATCAAGCGCACCTGTGAAGAGCGCTTCGGTTGTGCGGGGCCTGCGGCATCTTCGGCCGTCTAGAGCAGCACCCATCTTGTCTTTGGGGTTTCCCCAGGACACCACAAAGAAGGGCCCTGAGTGAAGACAGCACAGTATCGGCGAGACTCTCGGGAGTATCAGATAGCGCAACGCCGACAATGACGCCGACGACAACCGAAGTAAAACGATCACGCAGACAAAGACGACCTAAACGATAATGCAGAGTAGCATGCCGTGAGGAAGATAATCTGGGGGAAGACTACACCTTAAGAACGCTGAGATTCACACCGACGACCACAAAGAAGGCAACACAGAGGGTGAGGATGACGCCTGGGATTTTGTTGATGACGAATGGCTGTGAGTGACGGCGGTTATGATTAGTTATGATGGTTACACTTTACACATGTGACGTGTGAGTAGGTATATGTGTGGATATACACACAAGAATATGAAATACTACATAAACACATACAAATACATTAACCGATAAGCACGTGGATATACATGTGCGTATATATACATATGTATGACATCTACCACGACCCTGAATAATAATGACAAGAATAAGATGATGATACTGGCGAGCATGATACTGATAATAGTGATGGTGATGGTGACGATGGGCATGAGAGTAGGTAATTAGAGCCAAAGCGTGGGAGGATGGTTATTTGACTGCTTTGTGGCTTCATTCGTTCGGTCTGGGCATGATCCTTCCTCGCAGTAGCCCATGCGCGGGCTTCAAACCCGAACCGAGCCCCACCGCTGTCAAGTCCAATGAAGCTCGGCGGGATGGGGCGGGGTGGCTGCGGCAAAAAAATCTTGATCCAGACTTGAAGGTACTTGTTTCAACCTTTAGGAAAATAGTATTGGTAGTTATTTAGGCTTCTATACCCCTAAACCTCCAGTGAAAGCTGTAATTACTCGTCTCAGAGAAGTGTCGAAAAAGTATCTTCCACATTGCCGTATCTGCACCTTGTGCCCTGCCACAGTTGAAGCCGCTCCGCGACCTTCAAAAGACTCTCAGCTGAAAGATCTGAAAGTGGAAGACGGAAGACGGCGTGTCATCAACTGCTGGGGTACCTTGGTTTGCCCCTGCAATTGCGAAGGTACCTGTCCAAATGTTTGTCTCGCGTTTTAGTCTTGTGTTGGCAGCTTGGGAGCTGTTGAGGAAACAGACTAGCAGCCACAGTGAATCAGTCTTAACCAAGAGTTTCGCAAGGCGTCACGACTTTTTATTGACTCCGCGAGCACATAGCCTGAAGCCATGGCCATTGCTCGTAAGATGTAAATACATCTACAGCCTTTCTCGTGGTCCTGGTCCTTCACAGAGTCAACTGCAACCGACAGCTTGCACCGGAGTCCTTGATCATTTTCTGCGACTCTCACCCAAACATGCTAGCCCATACAGGCCCTAAAGTAACCTTGCAGTAAGAACCTTATAGTAGTAATCAGCAATCCTTTGCCGACTCCTGAGATTGGCCAAACTCGCGCGGTTTTCCGGCATGCGCATGTCTGTCTGTCTGTCTGTCTGTCTGTCTGTCTGTCTGTCTGTCTGTCTGTCTGTCTGTACGCATGCATGTAGGTAGGTATGCAGGTATGTATGTTTGTATGTGTGTAAGTAAGTATGTATGTATGTATGTATGTATGTATGTATGTATATGTATGTATGCACGTACGTACGTACGTATGTATGTATGTATGTATGTATATGTGCTATATGTTTATGTCATGTGCATGCATATTTATCTGTCTATCCATATCTACAGATATACACATACACATATGTATGTGTATTTGCGTATATGTATAGACACGTGTATGTGTATGTACGGTTGTCATGTGTGCACGCATCGTTATGCATCAGTGTGTGCATGCCACTGTTGTACTATAACTTATGTCTATATATACATATAATTATGCATGTACATAGACTATTAGTAGTGTAGGTATATATATGTGTGTGTGTGCGTGCATGCATGTGTGCATGTATGTATGCTTGTAGGTTCGTTTCATTTTGTATCTATCTACCTATGTTGGTCTGTCTGTCTGTCCATCTATTCTATCTATCTATCTATCTATCTATCTATCTATCTGTGTATATGCACGTATGTATGCATACACATGCACATCAACTTATGCCTTATGCATGTAGGTTTTGCTAGTTACTTACGTTTGAAATTGCAGTCGTTCTGTGTGTATATATATATACACACCTACTTATAGTTATACATACATACGTGCATACATACATCCATCCATGCATGCATGCATGCATGCATGCATGCATGCGCATACATATACATACATATATATGTATATATATATTATATACACATACATACATACATACATACATACATACATACATACATACATACACGCATGTATACATATAATCATATACACACATACATACTTACTTACATACATACATACATACATACTTACTTACATACATACATACATACATACATACATACATAGCATCTTGTCTTGTGTGCGAGTGCTCACTCATGTCAGATGCTGTGCATGTGTCCACATATTTGGTGTAGAGGCCTCAAGTTCGGTTGAGCGTGTGCTGCCGAGGACGCAGTACGAGGCAAAGCCAGCGGTTGCACCGCTTGAGCTAGGAAGTTCCGAGGACCTGCTGCAACTCATGAATCACATCGTCAAGCTCTTTCGGGTCATTTTGGCTTGAGGCACAGCGATTGTGCTAGTTTGTTTTTTGGGCACGTTCGAGAGTGAAATATGCTTCAGGC